TTTAATTTTGCAAACAGGATCCGCGAGTTGTTATTGGAAAGTTATATTCTGGATTTGGCAGCTAATCATAGACACTGTTGTGCTTGTGAAACTAGTATCTTCATTCCATCGTAAACGGTGAGCGAAAATTCCCAAATATTGTTATGGAACGCTGTGTGGTTTGACAAAATTCGCCAAGTTCTCTGGATTCATTTTTTTCTAATGATGATATTCTTGTATATGCGTGACGAATGCAAGTTCAATGGCTTGATGCCATGTTGATTGGTCAATAGGATCCTGCGCACCGGCTTGTCGCATTTGCCAGAGTTAGGAGAGCATGAACATAACAACATATATAAGCATGATATCCGGGGTAAGCTCATGCGGGGTAAGACGTTTGGTATTAAAATCCCATGTGTTCATCTGATAAGGCTCCCTGGGCGATGATTAGCTTGTCTTCTTATGCGTAATAGAATAATTCTTGATCTAATGATCACTCTTTGCGATGGAGCGTGGTGACTCTCATAGCAAGCTACTATCATTATTGTGTAGGATTAGGGATAACAATAATACTGGTTATATTAGCTATACCGGATACATACTCTTCGAAATATCCATATGAATTACAGGCGAAAAGTACGTACCCAATTAGATTAGCTTCCCGTACGTATGCTTATAGATATTTGCTATCAGAGTCTCTACGAAGTACGAGACGATCCATCCTTCCCAATCCATTCAACCCATCCCAATCCTGGGAAAACCTCAGAATAGGATACTGTATTCGAGTTAAAAACAAGTGTATCGGGCCAGATTCCGACAATCAGCCCACACGGGTTCGGCTCGGGAAAGAATATGCACTCGATCGGCACGGCTAGTATTAAGCGAAACTGGTGATGCATGGCAAGGGTGTGTCAGATCTAGCTGAACCAGAACAATTCTCCTTCTCATTCTCCCGGTTCTTTAGCCCTTGCATGATGAAAGAAGTCAAAAACTCGTTGTATCCGAATGACTCGCCATCTAATTGCATTTCCCGGGACCAAAGTCATCAACTATAATCCTTACATACTTTTGTAGACTTTCTAATGTTATAAGAGATGACGCCAGAGTCAATCCTTTGATATGCATCGAATGGGGTAGACGACATCATCTGTGTGAAATTATTTTGTGGGCATTTTTTCAATATCCTTGTTGTTTGAGATGTACTGAGTATCGCAGTATAGTGTTAGCGATTGAAGGGGTGATTAGTGATTACCAATATTTCAACGGCTCGCCCTACCCGTATTCCATCCACCAATGAGATCTACTCGCACAAGATCACGACAAACAGATTTTGCTTCGTTTTGCTTCGTCATTATCATCAAGACAATTGAATTATATCGTGGTCTTTCCATAATACTCGGAGTATAATAACAGCATAAATTAAATTCAAAGCTCCCTTCATCTCTAGCTGTATTCATACAAAGATGAAGGCTTCGGCGAGATTCTATTATCGAACCCAGAAACAGAGCAACTTCAACAAGCACCTCCTAGAATACAAATATTGCGAATTAGATTAAGCACCATTAGCCTTGTCAGTGGTCTCTTCTTCGTCAACTGAAGTTAGTACAAAACTCAAAGTTCTTCCGAGTCCATTGCGGTATAGGCTTCTTTCGGATTTTCACGGCCAGTGTCGTGACAACTTGTACTACTCTAGCCTTATGGTCATGACCCCACGATCCGAGTTATGACCTAGATTGATAGCTTTTTATCTCAAAAGACCAAAGATTACCGTCGTTAATATTGGAACTCGAACACTGATTAGTATGGGTAGTTTTCCATTGGATATGTTTGAAACCTTGTAGGCTCGCTCTGTTAATTTAAAACCCATGTCCAAGGTCCTTTTCTGCATTAATAGTACCAAATTCGCATAATTTCGTCTTCAATCGAGTTTACTTTTTAAACTCACAGTCTTGTATATCTCGCCTTCCTGATATGTGGCTGATCCCGGACCAACTGACATTTTGAGTTAGTCAATTATTTCACGAGAATTCCGAGGTGGCTTAAGTTCATTTTTAGCTAGAGTATGATTTTATCCCTTTAGTCACTTCTTTCATAATTCCACTCATATTGGTCAGATGGTCTTTTTCCTCCTCCTATCTCCAATTGGTTTTCGAAAGGAATGTTCTAATGAGTTCTAATTATTCAGATGCCATCTTTCGGATCTCTGACAATATATAACTTAGGACAGTCTACTTGCTAATCTAGCTTCCAAATCTTCGTATGCATATCTGTGTTGCCTTTCAATAGCTATGAGAAGATTTATGGCTCAAATTTTTTAAGGGCTGGATAAGCTTGTCAAAATCACTTTGCATTGAAGTTTCATCAAAGATGTGATCAGTTCGAAATAAAGCTTTCCATTCTCGTCAAGCTAACAAACCATTCCAGTAGCCCCTGTTTACCCTTCTTCAGCTTCAGTATGGGTTTACACCACCCAGTCCAAACACTCAAGTGTTGCGTTGAGTACCTCCGTCCCCATAGAATTCTGCATCGAATTGCTGTAATTTGATGGACATATTGCGCCCTGCAGTCGATATTTTGTGGATGTTATGGCCGACATGGTGATTAGGCGAGGTGTATGGAAACAGGATCATCATTCTCGGCAAGGTAGCGTTGGATGCGGGGGGCAGCGAGGCTTCTGGCTTCAGTCAATACGGTGTATGGAGGGTGATATGAAGTATTTTTTATACTAATGAAGGTGTAAGTACGTTGATGAAGTTGAAATAGATTGGGGGGAGATGAGTTGAACCAAAGAGAAAAGGAAAAGGATAGATAAAGGCGGAAGCGAGAGCAACGCAGTTGTAAAAGGATCGACGAGAAGAAATGTTGCTTGGTGATGGGAATGAGTGGTGGCAAGGACACTTGATTCAAGCTAGGCATGCAGTACAAGAAAAAAAGCTCTTGAGGCTCGGTCGGGCAAAGTCGCCAGACAATTGAGCAAAATAGTGCTAGAAAGAAATAGCACGGCATGCCGTCGTCGAGGAGTAGAATTCAAATCCGAGTTGTATGATTGAGTAAATAAAATAAGGAGCGGGACTGAAAACTAACTTTGAAGTGACAGAGCCTTTCACGGCGATGTTAGAGTCCTTACTGGCGTTCGACATGATGACGTGTGAAGTTGATTGTATCTGTTGTATGTGATTGATGGTAATGGGTTTGCGATCGAGAGTTTTTAAAACCTTTGTCGAAATATAATTTCATGAGAGCAAGGGAATAGGAAACATCTTGAGGAGTTGGGGAGTTTATAGATGCAAGCGTGAAAAGTGAAGAGAGTCTTCTTGCTCATCTATGAACTTTATTCCACGTGTCACCTAACTAACCTGGGGTTTGCGATTTTCAACGCCCGTTTCATTGCTACTGTCCCAGCTCCTGGCATACATCTATGAAATGAAGTAAAGGAGGGTTTCTCTACTACCCTCATACTGCATAATGATGGCGTGCATAATCGTGGTCTTGACTGCAGGTAGAAGTACCCTGTGCAACAGCGATTCGAAAGATGTGTAGATTCGTTTATGTCTTTGTACCTGCAACCCTCAAATATATACAAGGGTCCCTGGGTCAGCCTGAAAGCAGTGTTCTGACACGCATCTCGCGTATCTCTGTTGTGTAACCTTGGTTGATCAACCAGCTTCGAATAGGACCTTATGAGTGTATCCTTCCGGGCGGTCCTGTGCAGCTGCTTACTCCGCCGGTACTCCGTTTCCCTCTCCAAAGGCCCAAACTAAGCTACCCTAAATCATTTTCACGATACGATAAATCTTGTCTTTCAGACATGTCATATGTGGCGATACTTATATCAGACCAGAAGAATCTACAGAAGTATGAAAAGACGATCATGTGATTATAAAATACTCACGCCTTATCTTTGTGGGAATTTTTGTATGCTTCTAAGATACACCCAATTATATCCCGTTCGTTCGGTCAGTAGTTTACCGGCTCACGCTTTCTGCCTCGAACTCTCGTTGTTGCGCACTGCATTGGCGAAAATTTTGATTGCTTCTTATGAAAGGTATCGTGTTGAGAATGCTACATCTTCATACGCGGGATAAATCTTGCGTTGTGGATAGTATATATGACTAGAGCTGCATATAATACAAGGTTTAAGTAGAAAGATTGCTTTGTACAACCATCAAGCATCTGATAAGCGGCCAAACTCTTAAGTCTTGTCAGGTTGTGGACGATGGGATTCACACTAGCGAATCCTTGTGGCCAAGAAATCTGCAAGCAATAAATGCCGAAAATACCACTGCAGTAGCTTTCAATATATATCCTTGCGTGCTAGACTCAATGGAGCGAAGGATCCTTACTTAAGAGTCTCTTAACATTCTCGAAAAATACCCAGAATAGGTATATCACAACTCTTACTCTCCACCCGAATACTGAGTTTGGTACATCCCGACTCCCGAGGCTTCATCTTTAGTCGGAGATCTTGTCATACTGGTAATAAACATCATAGCAAGCCTTGGAGTTAATAAGCCTCTCAGATTTTGGCCTAACTAGCTTCCAGAAATGAATTAGCTTTCAGGAGTTTAGTTTAACTATTCAAGTAGTTGTTACACAAATATACTAAAAGTCTAAAACCAGGAAACTTGACTAACCAAGATAAGTTCTTCATGCCTCATGTCTCCCAGCTCTGCATCTTCCCCTCCAAATTCAGCAATTGGCTGCAAGTACTAATTCCACATTGCTCTGGATACATTGAGAACAACTCGTATGTATAAATGCAGCAGAGAATAAGTCGGAGATTGCCCCTGTTAACACACTATATGCTTTGACAAACCTGCCCCCCCCCCCCTCCCCCCCTTCTCAACTGTGCCACGCTTCTTGCGCTGTTATCTCCTTAAAGATAAATGCTTGACAAGTGTAATGAGTTCATTTGTAGATATTCCTCCTGGTTTTGCCACTCGCTTAATCCCCTTGGAGGATTTCTCCAGGCTTCATCCCTGAAAAAATGTTCCTCCAAAAGATAGATTTTTATTCCCAAACTAGGCCTTGGGAGTACAAAGTAGAGTCTTATTCGCTAATTCATTATGTGATCCTCTTCTACACTGTCTAAGGATTGGTACTAGCTGGCTATCATGAAGCAGATCCAGAGATTTTTCAGCCTCTGTTGTTTTGATTTAGTCACTTTTGCATTACGTACAGTTATTACCCTATCATATCAATTCGCAACTAAAACTAAACCACCTCGCTATTTTAGGCCTTCTCGAGTCTCTCTTACGTTTCTCACAGGCGAGAGGCTCGCCATCGAGAACCTCGGCAGAATTAGAATGAACTTTCTTCTTCATCTGTATGTAGTTGAAAACTATATCCGAATCTCGTCGTGATGCCAGTGACTCATTCATAATAAAACGGTGTTAGACTTGGATTTGAACAGGAAACATGATGTTGCTTGATCAAACTAATCACCCAGCATGCTAGCGTTTGGCAGTGCGCCATACACAAAACCTTAAAAATATTAGGCGAACACTATGAGCAGTATGCAAATAGATACACAGAATTTCTGCCGCAATTATGGACCATATTGAAGGCTGAATGCCGATATGCATTTATAATACGAGGGACGCGGATATGTACTGTAAGATTTGAACAGAATATTTTAAAGTTATAAAACGAGATAAAGGAAGATGATGTTTTGTTTTCGGCTATCAACTTCTCAATGGAACTAAGCTAAAGTTCTCATGGCAAGTAGATCTAACCCCCTCCCTCTCTGAATGCACCTCTATGCTTGAACGTACATGTACCTTATTTACCGGGATGTGACCTTCCTCGAGGTCATGTAGAGTTGCAAAATGATGTGTTGAATCCGTTGACATGGGTTCGCCGTGTGCTGAGTGCGACGTCTTCTTACGATTCTTTTTGCTTGGGCCGGATCCAATCGTCCACAATGTCGGCCTGTCCGACGACGGTGACAATGCTGCGTCATTTTTCTTGCGCCTAGATATACACGCCCAGATGAGTCGGAGGGTAGGAAGACAAGCTTATAGTGATTCTTATCAGTATTATGACAGCAGACTTGAGGAAATGACCTTCTAGATTTGGACGGAATGGTGACATTGTACGTCGAAAAGGACTTAGCATACCTGATACTATCGCGAAATTACTCTCCACCACAGCCCATACCCCTTGATCCACCTAGTTCCAGCTATAGTCTGAAGCCGAGCTTTCCTGTACAACACTTACCAATCTCATAATTGATGCTATACAGACACTACATCGGGTTGATATTAGTATAGTTGACATGGAACAACTATTTGTTGAAGAACTTACAACCCCCCAAGAAGGAATGTGCCCATCAGAAGACGTTTCTGAGACCATGCTGTATGTAATCGCAGAACATATGGGACTGGTAATAATAGCAGAGCAATATCCGTGAGGATATTAGGAACCGAAATGCCGATTAAAAATTGCTGGCTATTGACGTTGCAAGAAGCATGTATGTCCTTATTCCAAAAGCCTTTCGGGGGCACACAAGTGAAGACAGAAAGACAAAGCTAACTATGTCAGACTAATTTTCATTGAGTTAGACAGTAGAGTAAGACGCTTACAACAGCAATTCCCCAAGACGTAACGATCGCCGCTAGTATTCCTACGGGCCATCTGATGCTCGTGCTTCGGAAGACTCGCCAGTACAAGGCCAGGATGGAATATTTGACGAAGACGATGATGAAAGTGTATATCAACTCCGTCATAAAGAAGCCCAAGAAGAAATAATACTCCGCTTTGGGGCCAAACGCGACCATATGTTTACCATAGCCGTGCGGTATCCCTAATCGCGAGTAAGCAATGGTGATGGGTCATAAGTGGGGAAGAGACCTAGACCAATACCAACAGAAATTGGCTAACATTGCGATTCCACCAAGCTAAGTAGAATATACGTCAATTTCTCAATCAAAAGCGAAGTGACAAGTGACTCACCAGTGCTATGCATATAAAGTAGTCATCCCACCATAAGCCGGCACCAGCGACTCGGCGCGACCAGATCCGAAGCCCCACGGCAACTACAGCTGCCGAAAAAGTAATGATGTCTGCTGCGTACAAATTGCCTTGCCGGCTAGCAGACATATCAAGTGAATCTGCCATGATAGATGCGATTCTGCAGCACGACACAGAAATAACGAGCAGAAAGTTGTGAAAAAGGTTCCCTAGCTTTACGCGTGATTTCTTTGGGTGCTTCAAGTGTAAGTATGTTAACGGGATATCTACGCCACATCCTGGGACGCATGTAAGGAGAATAATGGCGGCTATCAACTCGTAATATCCAGCGGCATATAGTAAGCCGTAAGCCCAAGGTGGAGCATGATGGGATGACAGGGGCGCATGTCAACAAGTAAGCTGTAAGCGCCTGTGCGATGTAACCCCTGGTAGGGAAGCTCGACTGTCGATCGTCTTCACCCCGGTAGTTCTTCTAATAGGCTATTACCAAGGCTGCTGATGCTATCCACACCCACAAAGCGAAGCACTATATCTCAGAGGGGATTAGCTATCGATGATCGATCTCTGTGACAACTTATAGAAAGACACTGAATTCGTACATGTCAATTGGACTCATGCCTGCACATATCGAATTATTTTTTATATAATTTCACAATATGGCCACCTCTTCTCGCCCAACTCTTGTATTCTTTGCGGGTGCATTTGCCGATCCTTCTTGCTTCGATGGCATTGTGCCTCTCTTTGAAAAGTCTGGCTATTCCTCTGTCTACGCTCGCATCCCTTCCTTGAACCCAGACCCATCCGGACTGGCTTCAATATCTACTGCTAATGATGTTTCTGAGGCTCGCAAGAACGTTTTATTGCCACTCATTGAGGAGCAGCATAAAGATGTAATTGTTATTACTCACTCTTACGGAGGAGTTGTTGGAGGTGCCGCTGCTGCTGGCTTGAGCAAAGCTGCGCGCAGTTCTCGTAATGAAACTGGTGGTATCCTGGGTTTGGTATACTGGGTTGGAAATATTGTTTCTGAAGGCGAGACCTTACTTCAGGCCGTCGGTGGCACGTACCCTCCGTTCCTCAAAATAGGAAATGTGAGTTTTAATCCAACATAATCTAGGAGCTCGCTTCGATGCTAATTGGAACCTTTTGCTTGTTCATAGCCATCTCCAGGTCTTGCCGTTATTGAACCAGTGATGTCGATTCTTTATGCAGCTTCGGACATCTTTTTGGCACCGGCTCTAGAAGCTGCTATGCTTCCCCACGCTGTAGCAGCACTTGAAACCCCAGCTCCAGCCCCTGCTTGGGCCGAGACGGCGTTCGATGGACGCCGGGTTTACATTCGTACTTTCGACGATCAATGTAACCCGTTGTTCTTACAAGACATTTGGATTGAGAAGAGTGGAGTCTCGTGGGATATTGCTGACCTTAAAACATCCCATTGTCCTTTCATCAGCTGTCCCGAGGAAGTTGTTTCGAAAACTCTTGCTTTCATTGAGAAGTGGGTTCAATAATTGTCAGCATTGAAAAGGGACGACGGCCTCTGATGGACTTTTGACCTGGATCGATATCCAATCGATTAAACTTGTGAAAGACAGCAAGGTCTAGATGAACAAATGGGATAGGAAGCGGGGAACGGCGGTGAAAGCGGTGAAAGCCGGTAGTCACTGAATAAAAAGTGTCCTTATCATTTCATATTCGGCTCGGCGTACGACGTTTTGGTTGGGACTTGAACACGGAAGATAATCGATATCAATCCCATGGGGTCTACAACTCTATAGTCGCAAAAGGCCATGATAATTGACCGTTACCGAGATAGGTAGTTTGGATATGCACGTTGCAGCTAGAATGAATGAGGTTGGAATTGTAAGATATTGAAACATGGACTAAATCACGTGATGTAGTACAACGCATCTAATTTGGGTCCATGTAACTTAACCTGATGAATCATCGCAGCTCAGTCGCGAGCCTATGGATCAGGTGCGTGATAGTTGCGCTGTATCTTGTCCGAAGCTTGTCTGAATTACGCAGAAGATTTAGTGACCGGTGAGAATATGATCCAGGGTGAGAGATGGGGGATCAAACCCGAAATATTATACCACTTAACAAAACACAATTACTTTTCCTCTTTTGCCGTGGCACTTGTGAGAAGACGCAACTTCTAGGGAAAATAATTTGATCCTAGTCATCACTCATTAACCGTATCATAAATGAGCCCAGCCCAGCCCAGTCTCATTCAGTCCCCAAACACTTCCCCTCGCCCTCCTCACTACTTCGCGCCATAATTACCCCACTTACTCTTCAGATCACCATACTCTTCCCACCCCTTCTCCTCCAGCCCTAACCTCATACTAACCATCCTCCCCATTCTTTTTTCCAACCTATCCTCCTCGGCCTCTTCACACTAAAAAACTCTTTAGGATTGTCCACTATCACCTTATGAACCCCACCATACATCGCCTTTGTAAATGCTTCCACCTCTATATTACCGCTCCCATCTTTATCTCCACCAGCACTTCGTGCTACGCGACCTTTGCCATCACAAGAAAGATTATTTTAGCGAGCATAGGCCTAATCATTAGGAGAGCCTATATAGAAACCCTTAGGGAACCAATTCATGGAAGCCACAAAAGCGGCATCTTTAATGATTATTCTGCCACCGTCTGCGTAAATATAGCTGATAGTAGATTATGAGATTTTAGTTGGCGAAGACGACTGGATGGAGAGGATCACTTACGATAATCGTGACTTCACTAAGTTCATAGCCGAGAATCGTGTATACGCCCCACTAATGAATCAACATCAGCCATCGGCTTTTAACTTTTGTGCATTTATCTAGTTTTGTGCACAGAGAAGCTCACTAAAACTGCATTGCTATAAATCATATCAATGGCCTGCTGAGGTGGCATGTGCATTGTACGGATAAATCCATGCGATTTGGCAGTTCTGAAGCAAGTTCTCTTTCTATTGTGTGCGTGGCCATTTTGATCGAACCACATAGCAGGGCAATTGAGTGCTTCATCTGAGAGCCTGATATGACACCTCCTTGTCGGTCATTGGCGATAATTGCAAGTCGTTCATTATGGTTCTTCTTTTCGTCAAATTGATAGAAATGTAATTCAATCGGGTGAGAAAGTTCGTGGACGTATATTGCCGTTGTTGGGGCTTTCGCGTAATGATAATCTGGCCTGTGATTATTTAGAACTCTGGATGGGACGGCCAAATTCGCTCAAGTACCGACGAATTTGCAACCATGTTGAATTGGTGGCATAAAAAGCCCGTAGCTCTCTAGTTTCCAGCGGTCTTTGAAGAAGTCTAAACCTCAGGCGCTTTAGGAGACTCTCGTGGGGCAGTGAATAACCTGTAGCTTGGTGAGGTGGACAAACGATAATCACGATATTTCAAAACGTCACTATAACTCGATATTTGACGTGAGTGAGCACATACTCCAAGCTTCCCAAACTAATAGGAAATCCTGAATGTACCGACACTAGCCAATCAAATATCAGAGGTCCACGCCACCCAAGGCAGTTTTGAAAACTCAACACAGGCTTCCGGAGAATTTGGACTTTGTCGATAGAAGTCTGTTTTGATGCAATGCCTTTTCTCCACAGTATGCTCAATTGAATGCCCCGAGAAAATCTTTAATGGCTACGTGAAGTCTGGAACATGAACATCAAATGTTGGTGGCCATTGAAAGAGAGAGTCCTCCGTCACAACTAGAAGGGCTTTTCTGTAGCCTTGAAGCACTCTCAACGAACATGCTGGAGTCGTCATTTAAGGTCCATAAGATCTTCACCATTGTAAAGTGACATCCTATTCTCTATGATATTCCATGGTGTATATACTGGCAATGAACGCTTGTCTCATTGTCTGATGACTCTGATCAGATAGAAGTGTGAGAATGATTGATTGAGTTTGCAGGCCTCAAATTCTGGTCAGGGGAATAAAACAAATCGAAAGCCTGAGCCCAGACTCCGGGAAATCAGATAAGCAAACTGGCAGTCTACTCGTAAGATTTTGCAGCTGCTGTTGGAAGGTATCTCTTATACTTATTAAACGAGCACGAAAAGGGGAAAGAGCCCATCAACAAGAAGACTTCTTGGTGTCGTGATCAGCGCTATGGTAGCTTATCTTCCTCTCAAACAATTCAAATGACAGACACATGTCTATGTCACCATTCTGTTGGTAATATAGCATGACGCCCTGCCAGAACTTGCAACTTGCAACAATACTGCTGTTATTCGTCTGTTTTTTTATTAGTATCTACATATGAGAGGTCTTTCAAGTACAAAAAAAACTCACACCCATGATTGAATCATCCGTTTTCTGGGCTTTAGTCTGTCCAGAGGATTTTGAAACCTTTGCTGGACGGGTAGTCCCATTTTGTGTTTGGCCTTCCATCTCCTATAAAGCTCTCCTGTAAAACTTTTCCGCAGACCCCTCTCTTAATTAGAAAGCTTTGAAGACTTTTCGATAGGCTTTCTCCTAGAATTCTCTTGAGTGAACTTCTTCATGAACTTATTGACCTTTAACTTAACTTGTAACTGTAGAGTAGTTTCAAAGTTGTGGCAGAAGGCATTTGAGCCGGGAAGCAAATGAGACAAGCATTAGCCAATCATAATCCAGGAAAATAGGCTAGTTCCTTCCATGTTGAAGGAAGACTATAGGTAGATAACGAAGAGATAATACAGGGGAAATCAATAATCACGCTTGGATCAAATCAGGAAAGGTTCAATGTGGGGTGTTCTGCTCGTCTATTCTAGCTCTAGCGTCTTGGCAACTGCGTCATTTCTTTGTTTTGAGATAAAATAATTAACTTGCAATGTTTCATGTTTCATGTTTCATTAAGCTCATAATAAATACAACTGATAATTCACGACTTCAAGATATCAGTCATACCATCACTTCTTTACACATACACACATACACACATACACAAGAGAAATCATTCATTCAAAGTCTTTTTCATTCAACGGAATATTAGTGCCGAACTTAGGTTACTAGGCATAAATCTTACTAGTCATAAATCTTAGTGCAGCCTTACAGCCCGCCCGGACACTAACCCAGCGAATCCAGTCAACCTTCAGGAAGCTCCCGATCAAAAACCTCCCGATTCAATCAAACACACTCATTCAACATAAGCACTACACCAAAGCAATAAGCATCATCTCAATTAAACAAAGATCAAAATGACATCTACACCTACATTGATCGGCATGCCCGAACCACCATCAAATACTGATACTCCAACCGATGCACCGTAATATACTCACCCCACAATCTACTCTCTATCAATACTGATCTGATGTACTCCAGTGGAACCCCAAACTCTACCACGACCTCCCTCTCTGCTCTCTCCACGACCGCAATCAAAGATGGCCATCGCGGATCTGCCCACCCTACTGCCAGCTCCCATCATCAACATACCCTCTCAAGCAATACCCTCGAGGCGCAGCGCGCCGATCGAATCTCGCGTTTGGCAGGTCTCGAACGTGTCACGACTGCCACGCCTCAAAACTCCAGCAGTACCACATCTGTTCCCGGACCTGCAGCTGCACAAATCCCCGGTTATTTTGATCAGGCCGGGAATCCGGTATATACCACTCGCATGTCGACCGTAGGTACGGCATCTGCCACGGGTTCTGCCACGGGAAGAACAACCACATGGGCATCGAATAGTGCCAAGGGACAAACAGAGGCAGATGATGATGAGACGAGCATGGATAATAATTATCGAGAGATGGACGATCGGGATAGATTTTCTGCATCGGCGATGGATGAGGAAATAGACGGGGATGGCATGAGTGATGATACAAGTCTAGTAGGCTTTGGCGAAGGCGCCGGAAGCACCGTCAGCGGCCCAACATACAGTCGAAGTAACCTCCTCGCCAGCCCCATCGGCGTAGGAAAAAGCGGTCTAGCCAAAGAAGTACAAAGCAGCACACCCGGGACACCCGTCAGCGCATCCACATCCGCAACCACGGAGCAACAGAAGCGCGAAGCGAGAATGCTGGATGGGATTACAGATGATAACACCAGTGGATATGTGGATACGGCCGCTCGGGGTCAAGGGGTAGGTGTAGCTGGAAATCGCCATTCGTCGGGATCGGGAACGGGTACAGGTGCGGGCGCCGACGCTGCAGAGAGGATCTTGAAGGATAGAATTGATGATGGCCCATCGGCAGCGAGTAGACCACCACTTGGTAGTCCTGATCAAGCGGGTCTAGGCAAGTTTTATTTTGAAGAGAAGAAGTAAAATTTTATGGATCGATTGATGGATTGCTTGATTGCAAAATTTCTGGGACAAGGGCGAACGAAGTGCATCGGATTTTCCACGTAACTGGATCGTTCCAATATTGGCTGGCGTTGATCTTTTTCCCCTTTTCTGTTTTCACACAGCGTCTATGTGTGGGTGTCAACCGGATGGGCTGGATGAATGAATGGGCTTTGGGGTTAGGTAGCTACTTGAGCTTCTCTTGATGACATGTTGCTTGAGGTGACATGATAAATGAAGACATTTCTTACATGAATACATCTAAATTTTGATTTTTGATTCGAATGTGAATGTAAATCCAAAACACACATCTCACTCTCCATCTCCATAAATCCAATTCCATATTTCAGCTACTTCAACTTGAAGTTCGATACCTACCTAGATAGGATAGAAATCCCTATTTATTCAATTCATTCAATCTATATCTCTTCTCTCACGACAAGTAAGTAAGTACCAGTATCAATCATATCTACACACAAATAAATGGGGATTTTGAGTATTAATACCAATCAATACCTTAGGTATACGAGTAGAGTATACTAGTATACAATCTGGTTCTTATTCTTATTCTTATTCTTTGATTTTTGTATTTATTTGTGTATTTGTATATCTATTCATATAACGTATACTCAACTTTGATATCTATATTTATTTGTGTATTTGTATATCTATCTATTCGAATATTCGTATAATGTAGGTAATGTATATTATGCACATACAATTCAATTTACTCGAATACATCTATCTATAAAAACATAATATAATCCTCTCTCCCTTCCTCTCCTCTCCATCTCCATCCTCTCTCCTCTCCTCTC